TTATAAAAATTTTTTCTCTTATTAAAGATTTTATTGAAACTATAGGAACGGTGTTGGCCTAGTTGTTAGTATGCCATCTTTTAAAACAACAACATTCTAGGGGCTGGGGGTTCAATCTTTGGTCACAGCACTTAGATTTTGTTCTGCGGATTCTGTCTGGGATATGACCCACGACACTGAATCACTTTTTAAGAAAAATAAGAATATTTAAGTTCGTGTAAGTATTGACACCTAATAAATAAAGACGCATTAAATACCGAAAGTGTTGAGAAGCTCACAAAGGCCCATGCGAGTAAAAATGTTCAAAACTTTGTTTCAAAGAACGATTAAAAACACAATCCATGAATTACATGATACAAATACGCCGTATTATGTATGATCTAGTAATAAGAATACATGACCTAAGTATGTATCATAAAAAATGTATTAAAAAGCGATATGTGTTGGTGATTAAAATTATAACATAATGACCACTATAATTCTCCGACTATTTGTTTTATTATACGATAAAATCGTATTATTTGTTTAATTATGCGATAAAATCGTAAAATAATTTAAATTAGCAATTTCCTAACTAATCTTTGGTAGCGATTGGCAAAAATCAGAATCTGGGTTAGAACTTGGATCCCTTGTGTCTCAGCGTGTTACTATGGCTGACATAGGCTGACATAGCTGATACATAACTGAATGAGCTTTCTGATAGGTTGAAATGAATCATATTGGTCGAAATGAAATTTATTTGCCAAAAAAGTTAGGGGATCTGCATCTTGGTTACGATTTTTTAATATGACATGTGTTATATTTTCACCATGCAAAATAATCTTAAAGGTCACATCCAAACAGCTTAAGTACTCCAAATCTGGTAGAACTAAAACTATCACTGCGCTCTTTGTTGAAATCTACAGTCAACAATAAATTGGCTGATGTAAACTCCATGAGTAGCGAAATTTTCCGCAGCAAATACATGAAGCTTATGAAGTAAGTATATTTAGGCCCTAGGCCGATAGAGATAATTACTTAAATCATGATGTACAAAAGGAGTACAGAATGCAGTTTTATAGTGCACTTTTCGGAAAATCTCACTACACCCAAGTTTCTAGTGTATGTAAAACAACGCATAAACTGCAAGTCTAAGTGCGTTATGTCAACGCCCTTAAGTGTGTGTTATTCTGTGTAACACTTCTTACGCACTTTTATATCTGCATAATTTTACGCTTTTTAGTGCATAATATACACTGATACACTCTGGGATATATTTTACAAAAAAATGGTAGTAATGAAAGGCATTTGGAAGAAAGGAAGAGAAAGGCTATAATGGCGATGAAAAGCGCTTGGAGTATAGGTGAGAGGATATTTAAGTATAGTTATCAAAGAAGGAAGAATTTATTTGTGGCATTAGTGGAGAGTATAGCGTTATTCGGAGCAGAAGTATGGGGCTGGGAAGGAGATGAGAGGTTGGAAAGTATACAAAGAAAATATATTAAGTGGTTATTGGTATTAGACAGGAATACACCAAATTATTTAGTGGAAGAAGAATGTAAATTGGAAAGCATGAAAATAAAGGCGCTAAGAAGAGCAATAAAATTTGAAGAAAAGATTAGGGACTCAAAAATTACATTAGCAAAAGAAGGCATAAGAGAAAAAGATAAAGATAAAGAAAGAGAAAATATAGGAAGAGTAGCAAAAAAGAGAATGGAAATATTAAAGGAAGAAGAAGTAACAGAAACAAGATATATGAGAGGGACAGAATTCAAAGAGCAAGTAAGATTTAAGATAATAGAGAGTATAAGAAGGAAGGAAAAAGAAAAAAGATTAGAAAAGATAAAAAACTCAAGATATAATAAGATATACAAGGACATAATAACAAAGGATGAACCAGAATATCTGAAGATGGAAATACCAATAAAAGATAGAAAATTAATGGCAAGATTTAGATGTGATAATGAATGTAAAAGCAGAGAACATTGGAAGGAAGAAGAAGAAAGGAAATGTAGATCATGCAAGGAAGAGGAGTAAAAATCATACACACATACTGAAGAGATGCGACAAAACAAGGAGCGAAAAAGTAATAGAAGATATACTTGATAAGAGCGCAAAGGAAAAAGAAATATTGAGAAGAGTAGTTAGCAAAAGAAAAGAAGGGGAGAGTTCCTGAGAGTGCTATGAGAAATAGGATGAAGAAATCAAGAAGGAAGAAAGGAAGGATATGAGAAGAGAGAAGAAAGAAGAGAAAGGATCAAGAAAAACAGTGTAAAGTGTAAAGTGAAGTGTAAATATACTTTCAAAAAAGACTGTAGTATTT